GGGGGGGGGGGGGAGGTCACTCCCAGAAAAATTGGGTGGGGTTGTGAGGCCCGCTTCCCAAAACTCTATATAAGGCCAAAATTTACGATTTTCCCTATCCTATTAATGACCTGACTGAAAATTCGATCCCAGCTATTTAAGACCCGATCCTTAAATCAATACCCTGTTTCAGACCTGCGTTATAATTAGTTTCCTCAGTCCGATGTTAAAGGCATTTTGAAGGGATTTTGTCGATGGTCTCATCGAAAATGACGAAAAAGAAGCTTTTTGTAAAAACATACCCAATTCAAGACTAGAGTGCAAAACCACACCCTGTTCGAGACCAAATTAAAATGGCCAAAACTGATACCCTTTTTATGACCAAAACGGCTGAAAAACCATACCCATACCCATTGGGGGCCTTGCATACCTATATAACCAATGCAGTAAGGGAGTACCCCCAGAGATATTAAATGGGATCTGAACACTCCCACTCCCATTTGTTGGCAATGCTAAGATTGTTTTAACATTTCATAATTCTGAACTCAGTAATTTTAGAACTTAATAAAGTCAAGAACATACGCTAGACTTCAGGACAGCATAGTTTTTCCCGCCATGCTGAATGCTGACGGGTTATTGATTCAAATTTCAGCGGCACCAGCCGTATGCACACAGGTAGCCGTAATAGAGCTTTGTTTCTTTAAAACCAGCATAAGGAAATGAGTCCCGCGTTACAACGTATCTCAGCTTAGTCTACGTTTTAAAAGACTCATTATTTAACACTTGCGCTCTCTCTGCTGAATGGTTGTATCAGGGGCCCCTGGGTTGTATACAATGTTAGTGGGCCAAGAGTTGTACGTTGCAAGTCTAGTTCCCGTCTACTAGTAGCTAGATTTCCCATAAATGTTAAAGGGAAAGGAGTCACCGTTCACATATGCCGTGCCGGCGGCATGTCCCAGGTATGTCAGCGACATATGAGAATCGAGAACCAGGCTTTATGTTAAAAAAAGGTTCCCTTAAGCACTCCAATTGTGTTGGCTTTGACCTCAGTGCGCGCTATTTTCTATTTCGTTGCTCGAGTGAAGATTTAACCGTATATCATAACTTACCATTATAGGAACCAGGGACGATGCTGACATTGAATCCTTTGAGATGAACAGCTTCATCCGAGACGAAACGTAAGTACAGTGTCGTTCCATCTACATAATAGCCAACTGGGTTCCCTACTTCAAGTCGGCGATGTTCTAAATATTCGAAAGAATTTCTTCTGCATATTTTGCCGGCATATTGCAAAACGTTGTAATCGTTGTAGGCTTGCATAAAGTCGCACTGACAAGATTTGCACTCTTCAATATCCAACCTAGCAACAAAACAAACAAACAAACAAACCGTTAAACCTACGCTTGGAGTTGTGGTGAATTCTACTTTCGGGTAGCCGTTACTTTCGGATGGTTAAAAAACGTTTGTATGGTAACAGTCGTTTCAGACAAAGCGGACGCGTAACACATGAAATTAAAAGTTCCATTTATGTGTGATCCTAACTACCCACATATACACAATAGACTGTACAAACAAAAACTGAGGCCCTAAATGTTGGTACTGTCGGGCGAAACTATTATATCGCATTATATCGCGAAGCTGACTGATTACACTACAGTGTATCATTTGACTCTGCTGCCAGACAAATACAGCTCATAAATCATAGTTTCAAGAAAAATTCAGTGAAGTTCGAAATAAAATCACAAATAACTCTTCGAGTTCTTCAGTCCTGCAGTCAGACTGTTCCAGCCGCATTGCGCTTAAGAACAGAGTTTCTATTTTAGTGACTTCTTTAAAGGGCCGCTACTTTTGGATGAGCTGTTACTTTCGGGGTTCAATAGGAAGGTAAAAAATTAACTTTACTTTCGGGGAGCCGTTATTTTCGGCCGGGGGCGTTACTTTCGGAATTCTACGTTGTATAAAGAGAATTGCATAGTATAGGTGACGTGGTACGAGAAATTTTCCCGAGCTGCTTGGAAATAGTCCAACAAAATTTCGAATTTCTTAGCACTCTCAAGGACAAAGGCTATCATACCTTTTTATAAATCTTGTTCACTCTACTTTATCTTTATGTATGATAGCCACGCTAACGATGTAGCTTTCATTTGAAAATCACGTGGTCAAATGACGTCACTGATATTGTATAATGATCACTGTTATTGACTGACTGTTACAATATATAACATGTTCTACTTTGAAAAAGTGAAGTAACCCTGTATTAAATACAGTAAATGAGTGCTACAGCATAAAAGCGAATTAATAAAATTCCCCAAACTACATGATATCCAACAATGCTAAATTGCATCATTTCGGTACGTCGAGTTTTGCTATTTATTTCTCCGTTTTCTCGTTAGTTTAAGTTTCGACTGAGAAGATAAATCAAACACTGATTCGAGAAAGTGTTCTACCACATTTCTATTGACACTTCGAATGACTCCAAAAATACAAAGCTGTGGATTTTGGTTTCAATTCTCCTCCACGGTAGGTGCTTGGAAATGTGGTAAAACACTATCTCTCGGGTTTGATACATCACATCAGACGACTCAAAAGACTTCGGACAATCTTTGGTTTTCTACTACTGAGGACTGAACGTACCTGTGAAAAACAAAGGCAACCTTTACGTAAGGCTCGGGTACTTTAAACATCCAACATCTTGTCTCGTTCACGCCATAATCACCAGAGCTGGGATATGTAATGTAGCCAGTCGTTTCTGTTATGTTTGTAATGCCATTAGGGCAAACTGTCGAGAATTCAAACAAGAAAAGATAATTATTGTTACCTCTCTCAATTGATGCAGTGGAACAATAACGTGTTCTACTTGAACTCCTCCGATCCTATTCTTATTCCTATCCTTACTCGTTGCTATTACGCGAATGTCTTGAAGAGCAGATAGCTTTAAGATAGTAACCCATGCAGGACCGTTGCAAACGCGACAAGTAAATTTCTTTGTAGTCTGAAGTTGTCTCCACAGTTTTCTTTGCGCTCAGACTCCAATCTTTGCATACACTGCTTGTACTTGTCTGTTGGTATTTCGAAAAACAGAAACGGAGTAGAGAGCGAAGGCATAAGGCAAAAAGTTATTTTCGTCCATACTGCGTTTTTGCGTTTGTGTTCACCAGGGAAAACGTGCTCGTCACACCCTGAGAAATTCAAGAGCCGACTGCAAGAAGCCTCGTGTTCTTTGAAAAGCACACCCTACACATCTACACTAAAATCGGCATACAACCACTTATAAAAATGTAAATGTAAAATGTAATTCTTATTTATAGTGGTCATGCACTTAGCAATACAAGCACTAAGCTATATGGTCCTTATATGTCTCAGCAGTTCTACTTTAATGGAACAATACAACTATTCACACGTTAACTGAAATTCGGCAATAAAAAAACTGGGGTAACTCGTATCATTTTTGAGTTATAAGCGCTCAAAGGCTGAATTAAAGTTTTTTTAACTGGTTATCTTGTTGCTTTGGCAGGCTTTTGCGTCACGAAAATTACAATATGGACTTGAGATACCATTATCACGTTATCAACTAAAAAAGAGCCCTACTCGTACTTAGACTGCTGGCAATAAAGCCTGGTTTGCTATACATGGCTTCTTGCAGAAATGTTATTAGCATCAAACAAAGGGTCGGCTAATTAACAATTAGACCCGTAGCCCGCAAGGGCTACGGGTCAATAACCCATGAGGCGAAGNATAGTCCTCTAGTAGCGTAGCCAATTAAAATGCAAGATTTGCATTAGTCCACTAGTTGGGTGATACTGATGATTGTTATTTTGTTCTGGCTAGTTTTACTCTTTAGAAAAAGGCAGAATTTTATATAGTTCAGTGAAAACATGTAATGTAATGTAATGTATTTACGAATGTTTAATACAAAAGATGATATTCTTTTCAAAATCTCAGCCTCGGATTTATTCTTAAAATTTCTTAAAATTTCGCAAATTTCAGCCGCGATATCCTTATTCTAAAGTAAAAAAGAGTGTACATTGTAAGTCAACTTCAAAACGCGAAATTGGTGAATAAACCGCCTGACGAGCGTGCTTGCAAAGTTGCATATTTGAAATTACAATTCAGTCCGCGTGATCTTCAAGCTGTGTAATCGTATGAATGGGAGGGCAATAAGGATTTCCACTGTGTGTGATATTTGAAAATTCTCTCAAAATTGCACAAGCCTTTAGACGAGTGCAAATTGAAAGAATCAGAGTCTTTGAAAAAATCACGAGTAGTGTAAGTTCTTAATTTCTCGAGTCTTCATACGATTATTCATTTACATATGACTGCATGGGAAAATCACGAAATCGCGCGCGTTAATTTGCACAAATTTAAAATTAACGATAAATTGGCCTACTCTCAGCCAGTCACAATGAAGTAATTTTCTCAGTTATATAATACTAATACGTAGAGGGATGATTGGAGACCGTGATTTGAAGAAAATTTAGTTACAATTCACCAAAACAATTGGATTATTTGCTCAAAATTTCTATGAGGTGATACTTTATTCTGTCTCCAGCCCTATCAGTTATCATGTCATACGATTCTCGAGCTCATTATCTAATTATCACTGAATTATGGAGTAGAACAGAAGTCAAATGAAGGCATAGTGGGTCTAATTTAGAACTTACTTGAATCACAAGCTCCTTGTCCAAGGTAAAGCGCCAGCACTGCAAAAAGATTCGATCAGAATAGAATATGGATAAAACAGAAAATATACCATGAATGGATAATTATTGACCGGTGCCACGTAACGTTGAGCGTCAAATTTCTCAAATTTTGCAGGTGCATGGACATCTGTCATGCTTTACTCCCACCGATAAAACTAGCGAATTTGGAATTTTTTTTTATGTAGCACTGTCTTGCCTTCTTTTCATATTTTACCAAGCTTAACATATGCCATCAGCTCATCAAGTCATCAAGCTTTGATCTGGAAGAACAGAGGGAACTTAAAGCGGAATTGAGCCTACGTGTTAGTAACGCCCCGAACTGAACCAACTAGCTAAGACGGGCCGAGTAATTTGTTAATGACTGGAAAATAAAAATATTTTACGGACCGAATTAGGTTCCCTTTCGGTCCTGTCACAATTTACTTGTTCTTTTAGTTACTGTGTTTAGTTAGTTGCAAGATAAAATCACGCACCAGTACTTCGCAACAATGCGAAAACGAGCTTGGATCTAACCGATATTGCAAAATGTGTAGGTTGTTTACGCAGTTTTGAGTTCAACTTCCACTTAATACACAGTATATTCTTGTGCATATTAGGGAGTTTAAGAAAACCACGACGGCAACGGCAACGTCGCTAAACAAAAGGTTTAATGAGCAGAACAACGGCTCTGCACATGCGTTATAATTTTTGGTACATTTCTTTGCCGTCCTCTGCAAAGCAACAGTGTGAAATGACCAAATTCTGTGTTGTGCGGAGAACGTGAACCACGACGGCTAGTTTTTAACAATTTTCTTTCTTATTGATCACTCTTTCCCAGATTCATTGTCGTGATTATTTTGGCAGTGATAAACAAAGTAAATGATTTTGGAGTATCGCGAGATTCGTAGGTAACATATAAATTCATTTTTTAATCGACGTTGTCCTCGGCGTCGCCGTCGTGGTTACCTAAACTTGCTTTGGCAACGACTCTGTTGGCATCACGACCACGTTAATGTAAACATTCATCGTAAAGTAACAGAATAACTTATTGATCCTCTGTTCAACGCAAAAATAATGTTTCAAATGTGCATGTGCGCTCGTGCAAGTTTATCCCGATTCATCTTGCGATGGAATCTGTGCGCGAGGGAACTGAATTTGCGTGATTTGTACCACTGTGAGATCTTGTCAGTTAACGATCAGTTGGGGTCGATGGCTGATCATGGATTCCCTTCTAACTAGCTGAATAATAGATTACATAATGTAGTATGTATTTAAATGAAAATGGAATCAAATCCTGAACCGTCAGCACTGCGAAAATCCCGAATGAAAAACTGAAATTTGACAGTTAAGCAAAAAGAAAACTATGTACAAATTTAGCAAAAAGAGCTGCGAATGTTTATGGGTGAGGTAAAGTGCAAACATGGCTTTTTTTCACGCGAATAATTTATATTTAAGTTCGAGATATGTGCTTTAAATATGATTAGGCATACTGACCAAAAACAGTGGCAACCGAAAGAACTTGATGTCGCCACGCCGTCAAATCCATTTCTTTAGAAACGCCTTTCATTGTAGAAACAGTAAGAGCCCCTTGACAAACTTACATATATGTACTGTTGACTCTAAGGCGCTGTGGAAACGGTTGCTACGAAAGTAAAGTGTGAAAGAACGAGATCAGGGCGGGAGACCAATTATCTGGCACGCGATTGGTCCGTCTACTGATCTTTGGAGCCTACACGTCTATGTAGTTATCTATACTTCGTTACTTTTAAATCGACTTTTTACACATAAAAAGAAAAACGAAACAAACAGTGGCCATCAAGGCTCTCGACGAAACGGACTTTATTTGGCATAGCGTCGGTGATGTTTCAGATGTTTTACGATAAACAAAACAAAAGCAACAATGAAAACAACTTAACAAAAATGTTTCTGTGGATACAGCAAAAACTTTACCTCAGGGGTTCATTTAAGCGCTGCATATTTATTTTCAAATCTCTGGAAACAGTGCATTCGTGCTTGTTAACAGCTATTCTTGTTATGTAGCTTTATGCCGTTGTGTCAAGACAAGAGGAAATAATTCGAGGTCTGTTTTTTTTTCGTTTTTCTGTTGGCCTAAAACAACTCAACAAACCCGATAGTTTAACTTAGTTTACCGATAGTCTTCCGCTTTACTTGATGAACCAATTTTCAATCAAGAATGCTTTTTTTTTATTCCCACGGTTGCCATCCAAAGTTAAATTGTTAATTATCGCAGAAGGGTTTCGAACTGATACAGCAATATTCAAAGGCAAAGATATTGCGACAGCCAGTGAATAAAGTGTTATGTTAATCATGTCCTTTTTGTCGCTTGGGTAAACAAAGCCTAAGGCCGAAACCCAACTCAGTCTGGTTTTACTTGCAATATCTTGTTAGTCACTACCTTTTTAAATTGCAGACGGTCTCGATTACTAAGAAAACCAAAAATGCAGAGAAGCCTTTGCGAAGAGTTAATGGTGGTGAGGGGGGGAGGGGGGGGGGAGGGAGGGGTTAAATCTGACCTATTAAAAGTTATACGAAAAGAAGCAAGCCGTGCCGCATGTAATTAATAATTGAAAAGTCAGCAAGATCGTTAACTTTAAGACACTGAATAAATAATGATCTGAAAAAAGAGACTTCATACTTCAGTTTATGTCAAAAGATCATAGCACGCAGAATTTAAGAACCCAATTTGTTGCTTTGGGAACGAAGTCGGCTAACTATTGAAAGTTCATAGTTACTGCCGACTTCGTTCCCAAATTCTGCGTGCTAAAGTATCTTGAGTAGGGTTGGGAGTGGGAAGCAATAGAGGAAAAGGTATATGAAAGGAAAGCCAAACACAAAGATTTTGATTTGTGCTTTCCGCCTTTTTGCCTTCTTTCCCTTAGGAAGGCCTGATGCTCAGGTTTGTATTTAAGAGGCTAGCAGGAAAGAGACAGTACTATCACCACTATCATGAAATACGACGTAAACAAATCGCGTGATGAGTATCACGTCGGGAGCTCATACACAAAAGCTAGTCACTCTTGGTGGAAGAAATATTGCGTGACGAGCTTAATTAAAGAACATCTGCGTTAGAGACTACCCT